TGGTTAACAGTGGCGGACTACAGATCAGGTGCAAGAAGCGCGTGCTTGGGGCCTCCGAAAGATAGCAGCTTCAGAAAGAAATGCATTCTGCAAACTTCAGGCACAAATATCATTTTCATATAGACAAATTGCCGTTCGTCAAATTACAAACGGCTTCGTAAAAAGTTTTAATGCTTAATAACTGACCAATAAAATTTCCTTTTCGACTGTGTGAAAATATCTTAAGTTATAAATAATGTTTAAAATTACAGTATTTGTGCGTTTACGTACAGTACCTACTATCCAGTCAAATAAGCGTTGGATCTCTTGTCTACTTCAAACGAATAAAATGTTCTGCATAATTGGCGTTTTCAGTGTCGAATTTTTATACAGAAAATATTATCATGTAAGTATCCATGTATTGTATTATTGTTTATGCTATATACAGCATATACAGCACTTTTTATTGTGATTATTGGTTATTAGAGTCGACAGCAAGTATCCATTCAAAACAGTAAAATTCACTGCATTAAATTAATTGATCAGAATATTTTATTAAGTAACATATTGATTTGATAGTATTACTTAGTAGGCCTATTTAAAACAAGGGGACCTCATGTAAGTATCCGTGTATTGTATTATTGTTTATGCTATATACAACATTTTTTATTGTGATTATTGGTTATTAGAGTCAACAGCAAGGATCCATTCAAAACAGTAAAATTCACTGCATTAAATTAATTCATCAGAATATTTTATTAAGTAACATATTGATTTGATAGTATTACTTAGTAGGCCTATTTAAAACAAGGGGACCTCAAAACTAAGCTGCTCCTGAAGCACTCAAGTGCTTAATCCGCTATGGTAGTTATATTGTAATTTTATATCCTATCAAAAATGCTTATTCAAAAAATAATAATAATAAATCTTCATAAATCATTTAAGTTGGATTTTTTTAATTTAAAAAATAAATGAATAAAAGTGAAAAATATGCGATTTTTCGTTATTGTAAAAAATATATTTCTCAACAATACGAAATAGACTATTGTTGGTTTATTGTTGCTCTGCGTTATTGGAAGTCGAGTAACTGCGCTTAGAAAAGAAATTTTGCTTATTTCATTCATATTGCGATAACTTCAATTAAATATTGTAAGTATTTCGATCTTCATTAATGTATTAACTCCTGAATACATAAATACAAGAAAGATTTTGAGAATATAAACGCATATTTTTTAATATTCGCTAAATATACTAAAATTAATTTTTTAAATTCATTGTTTGCCATAATTTATTATTACTCGTTCACTTATTTTTATTATTTTAATGTTTTATTTATTATAATAAATAAATAATGTTTATTTTAAATATAAATTTTATTTTATTATTTCGTAAGGAATAAATAATCAAACAGTATTATAATTAATTGATTTTTAAATTTTTTTTCAAGGTTACGATGTTACTTTATGGATACCGACGATTAATCATTATCGGAGCCATATTATTTCTATCTATATGGCGTTTGTCAACTTTTATACACAGTCTGATTGGGATTGTTGTATATATTTCGAGAATAATATATATTCTGCGAACGAGTCGCCAATTAGACTTAGCTCGATCTCACGAAAGGTCGAGACAGAAGTTTTCTCACTATCAAAATGTGGATCGAAATCACTCAAATTCAAGTGATTATTATAATCAAAAAGAAATATACGATAAAGTAAATGATGAGTTGAGGAATTCAGAGAAATTTGGTTCAATTAAACCAAAATATTCATTTAATAATATTAGATATAAAGTATCAGCATTAGAATATGTATTAAGGATGATATTAACTGCAAAAAGAAAAACAGTTAAAATAGCACATCCAGATAATTTTAAATCATCTTTATCTATTGACAAGTATGAATTTATATATTCATTGTCAAATAAAGAGAAAGCAAAAACTGATCTTCGTGGTGTCAGTACTGTAACAGCCGCTTTAAAAGAAACAGGGAAAAGATCTTTAAGAGAAGTAAATGAACCAAAAAATTCAAAACGTAGGCGATTAATGGATAAAATGCAAACGAACAGTTCCATTAATCAGTTTGCTAAACAAAAGTCTCCTAAGAATGTGGAGAAAATATGTGAAAGCAATTCTTCAATGACCATTCCAACAATATTAAAAAAGGTATCTTACCGAAGAAATCTTCCTCTATATACCTCTCTTCAAACAAATATACAAATTGCACCTATACCTGCTCATTTTCCTACATTAGAAGAACATAATAAAGATAGGAAAATCGAAGAAAAACGATTGGAATGGTTGTTATCTGCAGTAAAAGAAGCCTGCGACATGAAAGATCGTAGAAAGAAGAATGCACCAACAAAAATTGCAGCCAATACTGCTGTCACCACAACCTTATTTTCTATTGCAAATTCTGTTCTGTTCTGTGATTTCTGCTACTAGCAGTTCCAGTGTACCTACAGTTACATCATCTTGGTTGGTAACAGAAAGAACAATGGTAAATATGATACCTATTATTACTGTGCCGTCACCAAGAAAGTATGGATATAACTATTGTTAGTACCAAAAGAACGGTCACTATTTTGGAGGATTATTAGTGATCACGTTTGAAAAACTTGACTGTTGAAACTGAAAGAAAGTGTGTTATTAGCTTGGATTTACAAGTTTCAAGCGTGAAAGACTCTCGGGACTATGAACAATGGATAAATGAAGGAACGCGTGACTCATGCCTCATTGATCTAGTTTTAACACTTAATTTTTTTATTAGTTTTTACTGAATACAACAAAAATTGAATTCGGGTGTTTGTACTGTATATAAATAACGTAACGTATTCGTCTAGTTTTAAAAATTCATATTGTTATTACTTTTTACAAAATTCAATAAAATCGAATACGGGGCGTATTTGTATTTTATCAATTGCTACATACATACAAACAGTAATAACATTTATAACTTTTATCGATGATTTTTTAAAATTATTATTACATATTAATGATTTATTTATGGTGTATATTTTATAATTTTTGAAATTATTCCGCGCATCCTTTTAATACGCTTCCTTGGGAGAAACCGTTTCGGTACTTTGGAAAATACTAACTTAATTCAAACAAATTACCGCATTTCCTCAATTCTAAGACGTGCCATACGTTTAAAATCGAATTATAATTGTTTTAAGCAAGGAAAAATATTTAGATAATCAATTTTATTGAGCAACAAGTTAGAAAAATAAGGCGGGAAAATTTACTCATTTTTATTTGTCTTAAGAATCCTGGAAATCTGAATATGCATAACGTCAGATGAAATGTATTAATTTAATCATAAAGATGGAGAATCTGTAATGGATTAATTTGTGCGAGGTTTGCCGATTGGGAGGAAGTGTCGCGACAGTCGAGCGGTCAGCACTGTCGTGTGGGAGTGGGAAAACTTACTGAGACAGGTCCTTCATCGCAAACTATTTATTAAATATAGAAAATTTTCTTACAAATTCCTTGATGGACGAAGTAGCACCACAAAGCGCGCGGGTAAAGTCCGAAATAAAGTTCGAAAAATTCGGTTTTCGTTACTTGTGGATGGACGCTGCCGGTGAAATATTCCGTAGGCCCCGGGGCGTTGATCACGGCTTTCGGCGGCTTCTCGTTGGATGAACTGACGAATCTGTAGATCGCTAGGAGGCACCCAAAGAACGATGCTTCCACGATATTCCAAAACGTTCTTTGTTTTTTTTTCAAAGATCGGGAGCACGCACGTCCAGGAGAAGAATCCCTACGTATCCAAGCACCAAGCACGTCACATCCTATTTTTGCGCGATTTTATAAGTTTTTCTGAGTCCCAGATCGAACATTCCGATAGGTCGATGCAGATCTGCCCCCCGTTCTCTAATTGGTCTCCCTCCTCGTTACGAATTGTAACGGGATCGGAGCCCAGATCGCGGGGTGAGTCCTCCCGATTGACAATTTGATTCCTATCGAAGATGTTCGATCTAAGTACTCAAATTCATCTATTGTTTCTTTCTGAGAAATTCGTTTTTTCTCAGAAATTTCTATAGATATGACTATATAGGGACATAATATATTCGCCTTGCGTTAGATAGTTTCTTTTTACAATATAAAATAATGATTATTGTTATAATTTAAAAAAACACTTTTTTTTATACGAAATTAAAACATTTTCTGTGCACGAATTTCGAGCCACTTCCGGAGCCTCACATTTGTAGACTCAGTCTGTCCTAAAACGGAATCCGCCATTTATTCACTTCTTGTGTTCCAGATTACAAATATTTGACTACCTGATATTATATATAAAATTTGTAATTTTAATTAGATAAGAAACTAAACTCTTCTTACACACCACAATATACTTTCACACAAAATATACTTTCACACAAAATCCTTCGTAACTCCAGTGATACTTGCTTTATACATCAGCGAACGTTTTCGACCCCATCCGGGTCTTCATCAGGCTATGTTTATGAGGAATTCGAATGCGTATGGAACAGAACATTAAAACGAACTTTAAGCGAATTCAAAATTTCGAAAAACAAACTTAAGAATAAACACGGAACGTTGCGCACGCGCAACTACTCATTTGCGAAACGGTGAACACAACCAAAATTAGGAAATTCAACAAATCAGTTACGGGGGTGGTTTCCCTCATAACAAAACTTCCACGCGCCCGATATCCCGACTGCATCCCTTTAATTAGATAGTTTTCTGTGTTTTTTTAAAGGAATTTTTTAAAACTTGACGGCCATGCAGCCTAAAAAGAAAGATCGGATCGTCAAGTGTTTGTATTCCGGAACACAAGAAGTGAATAAATGGGGGTTCTCCAAATCTCCAAATCTGTAATAGATAGTAATACTTGAATATATTCATTTTTTCGGCTATTGTTATTTTATTAACCGCATTGAAAAAATTGTATATTAAAGACTGTATAATGCGTATCCGAAGTATTGTTATTTAGATATAAATCAATTAGCCTATACTGCTACACGTTCCTTAACTTCGTTTATAATTCTTGATTTTATATCTAGATTTTTCTATTAAATAAAGATAATTCTTACTTAATAATAATATTTTATCTATCTTTTTCCCCTGTATGATTATTATTACATTTAGACATTTTTTAAATATTTATAAATAAACTGTTATACGTAAAAATAATATAATTTAATCCATAATAGTAAAAGAAAATATTATTTCGTTTCGTCTTGTTTTTAAAAATATGTAAAATTATTTCATTGGTTATTATTTGAATAATGACTTTGTAAATATAAATGAAGAAATGAATAGTTAAAAAATACATTTCTGTAAATTTATAACAATTTATTTTCAAATTTTCTACAGATTTGAAAATTTCTCTTTAATTTCCACAATAATATTCGATAGTGAAAATTATACACATTAGTGTCGATATTAAGAAAGAATGTAATTATAAATATATTTGTATGGTATTCAAATATTTATTTTTTTTTTCTAAATTAGTAATATCGTAGAATGTATAGGGAAGCCATCTAGCATCAAATCTTGAAACACTAAAACTATAATCTATGTTCATAAAAATCAAATAAATCAATATAAATTATAACAATAAAAAGTTTTATTTTTATTTTAATTTATACTGTATATTATAAAATAAATTATTTAATATAACAAGATACAGTTTAAATTACTATTCAGAGAAAATACAATATAGTATATTGATGCAATATAGTTTTAAATAATTACATGAATATTAATTAATATTCACATTATTGAAAGTTTAAATCTTTATATTAAAAACACATATTTTTGATATTTTTACGTTTGAATTAAATGATCAATTAAATAAACACAGAAATATTGAATCATTGCTTTGTAATTTTAATTTTATTTAAAATTTGCTTATTTAAATCCTTTTATCTTCTTCGATACTTCAGCCGGTCAATGGCATTAACAGCGAATCATCTGAAAAATATTTAAATAAAAATTGATAATTTTGAAGGAAAATATAAATTTTAATCAAAACATAAATACAGTATATGAAATGTATTTTTTAAATATTGGTTTTTGAATATTGAATAATGTTTTTATAAAAAATTCATTCAATATACTGTATGTGGCTTAACATTATACAACATATCGTAGGAGTTGATGGAATGAAATATATTTTTCTTGCTTAATTAAACGAAAAAATAATTTTCGAATTACTAAATACTGTAAATCAAATTGTATAATAAAATTGTACATAATTATGGTGTATAATATGAAATTATTTATTCATTTAAAATTAAATTAAGAATTTGTATTTATATTTTAATCGCTGTTTTTTATATTAAAGATTTTTTTAAAAGGAATGAAATATATAAGTTTCATTTTGAATTTAGTGTGTCAAAATAGATTTGTGAGGTTCCAGACGAGGTTCGAAATCAAATTAATTATACGCCATAAGAGGAAAAGGGAAGTTGCTGTTAAACCAGAACATAGGTCGACTAAGCTATGTTAGAGAGAAAGAGGAAATAGACTTAGTTGTCAAAACAAATGTGACGTGGGAATAAACGACGTGATAGATCATAGTGGAATGTCGACCCGGAGAGATGAAACTCTGACAGAACGCTCGTATACAAGCGGTCTAGGTTAGAAAATTGGAAAAGGGGAAAGTTTGAAGGCAATAACGGAGTAAGATAAGAGCGCAGGTTTCATAGTTTCATCAACATCTCGCGGTCAGAGTCGACGGATGGTATCAAGTAAACTCCCGAAGCGACCCGAACAGGTCTCGGTTTTCACCTGGAGACAGGCGAGCGTCCAATCGGGAAGCGAGATGAGGGACGCATGGCCGATCAAAAAGGCGGACGGAGAGGGAGAAAACTATAAAAACCCCAAAATCCAAGGTTAATTTAAAGCGCAGTCTTTTGTCAATTGTGTCCTGCAGTAAATCTGTGCCATCCGGAAGACCGATGTCGCAACCGATTCGGATAACATCAGAGCCTCCGCAAACAATTACCTGAAGCTCCCACACCTCCAATCGGACTCTACAACGCTACTGCCCCTGGGCCATCATCCGCTGTCCACCTGGTGATCACTATCTACTGTCAAGTGACTCTTTAAATCTTCGGCTCACGTCTAGCCGCACAACCTCGGAGTCGAACTGTTCATTTAATATTGTGTAAGTTACTTTCCAATCACAATAAACTTTTTTTTTTTTTTTTGGTAAGGACATGTGTCATCTCTGCCTACAATTCCACCACCCACATGCGAACAGATCCTAGACCTTTACTGACGCAGGATTAAATGATCTTCCCCCTCCAAAGTCGGCGAACTCGCAGATTTAGTGAATATATTTTAAAAATTTAAAATAAAACGCTTTATTTTTGGAAAATTTATAAAATTTAATTTTTTTTATTAGAAAAATACAATTACTACTGAATTAATTTCCTATTATCAATAATATTTTTATTACATCTTAATTCAGGCGATTAACGAGATAAATATGATATGTTATTATTAATTTTATATAATATTATCTTACATTTCTACTGCAGATTTTTAAAATTTATTCCTAATTTATCTAATATATTATATTAGATAAATTGTCATTATATGAATGTCAAAAATGTCATTTTAATGGAACTGGTCAATGGCATTTTAAATTTTAATGATTGAAAATTAGAATGTGGTTTTTTTAAATGACATAACTTTCTAAAAGTAATATTTATAAGACATACAATATTTGATTTTATATATGTACTGTACAGGAATGTAGCCAGAAATTTTAGTATGTAGATCACCCGCATGCTTATGACTTGTGTAGAGTAGGTAGGTAGCCTATCTACTTACGCTAAGTAAAACGTAATAATGCACAATTACTAAACATATTATTGTGTAAGGATATGCAATGTCGAAATGGCAGCTTCTTTCACATCATATGCAAGCCATATGAAAACCAATATTGGCCCAATGCTCAATAAAAAAAGAATGAACAAGAAAAATTATTAAATTTTATTCTGTACCTTGTGGATGTTTTTATAATATATTTTCTTAATCGTCTGTTTTGCTGTTTCATTCATTTATACACTGCTCATGACGTTCTTTTTACGCTGTTTAGGCTACTTTTAAACTTGAATGAGATAGCAATCAGCAGAGTGAGAGGTGGAAGAGCTAATGTGAGAAACTCTTCCCCATTTATCCCGGTTTTATTACATCCCTGTATGTATGCAAAATGAAAATAAAAATTCAGTACAATAGAGCGTCGATTATCCGAAATAATCGAGGGGGGACAATTTCGGATAACCGATAATTGATGACACTTCGTAAGAAAAGAATAAAAAGATATAACCTTAAATAAAATAAAAATATTAATTTTAATTCTAGTATTATAGTAAAAAAGGTTAAGTCATAGAAATTTAACACAAACTAAGAAATAATGAAAAAAATAAACGATAAGAAATAACGTAAAAAGTGATTTAATTTATTAAAAATAAGCACTAGTCTCATTACTATCTACAGCGTACTGACAAACATTTAAATTCAAAGTAAAAAATAATTCAGCAACGAGTTGCGTAACTTTTCCGGCAAAAAGTTATAATTATGTGTAGCGACATCTGTTATGATATTGTATTTAAAAACTTTTTATATTATTAATTATTATAACATGGCAAAACGCTTAATTTTGAGTGTAGAGATGAATTTTATAAAAAATTGTAAATGCCAATAACGAGTAAAATCTTCATTAAGTCCTATACCACTCGAGATATGACATACGATCTCCCTCTGACTCTTCACTCCCTTGACCTTTAACCACCAACATTTAATAGCGTAAATGCCCCAATACAGAAACTCCCTGCAATAGTTCAGAAATTTTCGACAAAAGGCAAAGGAGTTATTAGGCTTCAAAGTGGATGAACAAATTCGTTGTTCCTCCCCATACTCACAAAGTAATATCTATACAAACAGAAAACTGCCCAATTTTTTGTATTTCTCGACGTTTGACGAATGTCCCACAAGTCCAAAAATATAGAAATCTTGGGAATCATTTTTTGACTGATCATCATACTTTACCTCTCATAAATCAGTGGTCTCCAAAGTGGAGTAGACAAAGTAATACTTGGGGGTACGCCAAGTTTCCCTTAAAAGTACTGTATGTGTGTCCTGTCCGCAGTCTGTTTAATCTTAGTCATCCTCCCGAAGAAGTAGGCTCACGATCACTTGCGATCATACACAAAAATAATTCAAATTGCGTGTAGCAGAAAATTTAGCAGGAATTATGTATTTATAGTGGATATAACAAATTTTATTATATTGTAGGGGTAAAACTTATAATTATTTTCGTTTTAGGGGTACGCGATCAAAAAAGTTTGGAGACTGCTGCTATAAATAATAGCCAGGAAAGTAAAATATTAATACTGTATTAAATCATAATGCTCATTTAAAAATTATTTACTACAGTTCTTTTGAATAAGTCACTTATTTTGTTTTGTTATTTTAAGCAGTTTATTTATTTTAAAAATATTTTTAATTCCGCTAAATTCCATGTTTGTTTTATCGTCACTAGAGTTAAAAACTCTGCTTCAGGTTGCATTTCTAACTATTATCAACGCTGTTTCTGACGCATTAAATCCTTCACTGTGTCTCCACACAGTGAATAATTTGATGCATTAGAAGCACGTGATTCATTAATTATGAATAGTTTTTCTATTTACACTTAATAAATACAACTTAACTCTAGTGTTGGTAACGATATAGTTCAATAGCGGGCCTATAGAAGATGATGACAATCGGTATTATGCACAAACTTTGCAATTTCTGGAATTATTATTCTCTTTAGTCGATTTCAGTTAATCGACACTCTACTGTATTTTAGTTTAAAATTTAGAATGATTATAACTTAAATTGAATTTACATTTTTCAATTTTATTAACATTTATTAGTAAAAATTTATATTCAAATACTTTACCGTCCATTAATAATACTCGAATAAGATGATTAACGTCGGACAAATGAATTGAATTGGAAGTTTTGACTTTTTCTTTCATTTGTTTTGCAATGTCCCTCAAAGATGATAACGTTACTAACAATTGAGAAAGACGTCCTCTTGAACCACATTGATGATTATATAAGACATAATCTTCTAAACTGCAGATAATGTGATAGCGTATATCCTTAACTGTTTCGACATCAGTTAAATCTTTTGCATCTATAATAAGTTATGAAAGAAACATTTATTAAATTATTCTTACATGTTTTTATATTTTCTTTTGAAAAATTATATAAAATGCTTTATTTTCTAAATTAAACTATTGACTATTTAAAAGAAATATATATTAATACAATAAATATGCCTTTATATTTTATATTAAGGCTTTATAGCTATAGCCTACACCTGCTTTTATTTTTTAAAATATGATTAAAAATTGCAGCCCGTCCGTCATTGTGAGGATGTCACAATAAATAATTTCTCGTTTTTGAAATAGATTATTGAAGAAATATTTATTAATCTTTTACGAACTAAGAAAATTTATAGATGATAGTTTCTTAAAAAACTTAGCTATAACAACAGTGATTACAATGGCTCTCGAACGTTAGTAGGTGGTTTGCGCATAATATTTGATCACCACATGAGTTTTAAATAAAATCTTTATACGAGTAACATCATTAAATCTAATACACTGACGTCTATGCAGTTAATAAATCTAATAAGTTAAAACTGACGAAAACAATGGCATTAGCTTCTTGGCATCGCCATTATCTCTATGCTATATTAACTTCATATTTATTTTTTGTCATTTGTCTCACTTTGTGTGTTATCGTATGTATGCATGTATGCATGCATATAATTCTAATATTCTTTCCTCGGTTCTTACTAATTTAAACTCAAATGAAGCCCCCGAAATACGTCTAGCTGTCTATTACTAATTTATAATAAGAATGATGAAAAAGAACTACAGTAGTATGACAATTTAGAAATTGTTTATACACGATATATATTACATTCTGGATTATATGATAAAATATTATAATGGATAAACATAGTACTTACGAGGATTAAAGAAGTCAATTGCTTTGAGGTAAGCAATTTCTGTATTGTCTACTTCTAATTCTCTAAAAACATTGACTAGTTCATCCAAAATTCTGCATTTTATTTCACTAACGACCAGATCAGTAGTATCCCTGGCTATGACAAAATTATTACCTAATAAAAGGGTATCTTTCATATTCAAAGATCTGACAGATAATCCAAGTATCAAATTTGCTCCAGCATGGAAACGTAATAAAATTAGCTATATAAAATTAATTTTAAAAAATTAAGACGGAAAATAAATATATTTCAAAATATTCTTTAATTTAAAATATACACACTTGGTCTTTTTTGGATAATTTTGTAAAAGGAGGGAGTTCCAATGCCCAGTTAACCATGTTGCACAACTGATAAGAAATAGATTCGTGGATTTTTTGTAACGTTGCAAAATTCTGTACGGCTTCAATTTTCTCATCAAACTTTAATTTCTGAAAATAACAAATTTAAAAAAGGACTAATTAGAACAAAAATTCTTTAATATGATCATATAATAGTAAACTACGTAAAAATCAATCAAAATAATATACTGTATCAATATATATTACGGATCAGAATCAGATAAACCTAAGATTAACCGGCTAGTGTTAACTTTATCTGAGTCTTTTATTTAAAGCAAATAACAATACAGTATTTATGTTACTGTTGTTTGGATAGAGCTGAATACAAATGTTGCCTTTTTGTGAACATCATTTTGGTTTAGAAATTATATGGATAATGAGAACGAAGCAATGTTTCCAGGTCTGACAATTTATTGCTAGATTTCAATTCAATTGGCGATGTGCGACAATTTTTTTCATTCTTAAAAGCACTTGTAAACTCCTGGGCTGCTTATATTAAACATAAAAGTAGATATTTTAAGTCTTTTCGAATATACATGTGAGGTTTGTTGACTGCGTTAGTCAGGATCGTCGCGCAATCACGACTATCGTGTGGGAGTGGGAAAAACTCTCTGAGACAGGTTCCTGATCGTTACACCGTTTACTAAAAATAAGAATTTCCTACAAAATTTCCTTGAACAACGGGGTATCACCGCACAAAAACGAGGATCAAGTCTGAATACAGTTCGAATGTTCAAGTTTCCTTTTCCTTCCTTTCCGCGGAGACAGCGAAATAATCATAGGCCCCGGGGCGCTCGGCACGACTTCAGGCGATTCTTCTCCTACAAACATGGGTGGCATAGGGCGACACACCAGAGGAAGTTTGTTTTCACGATACACGAAAATTTCTTTCCTATTTCTACAGAAGCACACATGTCCAAGAGGGAAAAACTACGAATCAAGAACAGAGAAACGAGAGCGTCACGTCCTTGATTCGCTCAGTTTTTATAAGTTCTTTTTGGGTCCCAGACCGAACATTCCGATAGGTCGATGCCAACTCACCCCCGCTTTCCGATTGGTTTTCACTCGTTACGAAACGTAACAAAATAAGAATCCAGATCGCGAGACGAGTCAACACCGACTGACAATTTGATCCTTATCGAAGATGTTCGATCTTAAAACTTACATTCATCCATTGTTTTAACTTGTGAAGTTCGTCTTTCTTAGAAATTTATACAAGCATATCCTTTTATGGACATAAAATATTCATTTTTCATTTCCCCCTTTTTTCTTGTTTGATAATTTTTTACAACATTAAATTATTATTATTTTCTTCTATACAAAATTTTTAAAAAAATTGGTTTTTTGTGCACGTATTCTCGACCTACTTCCTGAGCTCCACATACACAGGTAACGTAAAAACATACTGTGACACTATCTTTTTTGAGACTAAATGCTGCAAAAAAAGCAAAAACGTTATACTATATCAGAGGATCTATCTTTTTCCAATTGTATTTGTATATTATGAACAATCTTGGTACACGGCATTTAAGATCTACGTACAGTACTTATCCGTACCTTGTAAATCAAGATATTGTTACTCTAAAGCAGGGGTGGCCAACAGTTTTTGCCTCCGGGCCGAATTGAAAAGAAAACTTTTTTCACGGGCCGAACCAGAGTCTGCCCTAGGAAGATTTTGAGGTGGTGCGAGATCTCATTGTGGTGTCACCCCGTAGAGGCTAAATTGTACATAGAGATTACAGATACATTTTTCACATCATCATGCTTTATCAACATTCTATGCTGTACTTAAGAGATTTGTAATTTAGTGTTAAATCTAAACGCACAGTGAGTTGTTGATTTTTTTTCAGGCGTCAGAATTTTTCATCGAGCTATTCGGACTTGAGTAGGTAATATTGAAAGATTAATCGCGGGCCACATAAATTCATTAGACGGGCCGGATCTGGTCCGCGGACTGTATGTTGGCCATGCCTGATCTAAAGGAAAATCTACAATTTTAAAAGCTACACTTTTTTTTTACCTAAATGTGACGATGTTTTGATGAAATAACTAACATTTTTTATATAACAAAGATATAATAAATTCTAGTTGATTTAAAAACATAATTCCATCTTTATCCGTCCGACCTACATTGAAAAGATTTCATATTACCCGGCTAAAGTGAAACCCTAAATTTTCTCGTTTTATCCATAATAGAGTTGATAAAGCCAACATATAGATTTATTTTTTAATATTCAAATTGTTTATACTTTACATTTATATTGATATTCATTGTTGTCTTTTATATATTATTTATAGAAAATTTAATGTGAAATTACAGGACATTTATAAATAATCACATGAAGTTCACTAGTAATACTTATAATGGCATACTTTATGATGAAATTAATAAATTATTCCTTAAATTTTGTTATCAATTATTAATTTGTATATAAAAATTTAAACTTACCGGAAAGTTTCCTCCTAATAATAATTTAAAGTCTATAGGAGGACTCGCTGCATAATCATTAAATGTAATCTTAATTTTATCTCTTTCGTTTTGAACAGCTGTAAAGAAAAGTATTACTGTAATAAAAATAAAAATAATTTTGAAATTTTCGTAAAAGTCATCGAATAGAGAGGACTTACCTTCAATCTTCATTCCTACCTGATAACATTTTTTAAATCTGCAGAAACGGCATTGATTTCTTCCATTTTTATCTATAATACAGTTAGAATCTTTTCGACAACGATATCTTTGATTTTTTCGAACACTTCTTCTAAAAAATCCTTTACATCCATCGCAACTGTAAGCACCATAATGTTTTCCTGATGCTTTATCGCCACATATAGAACATTCGAAATTAAATTGTTGATTATCTGATGATGATGATACAATATTCACGTTATCTAAATTAAACATTTCAATTTGTTAATTTTAAAAAGTAATAAAGTGAAAAAAGAAATAAATTTTTTATTAAAACTCAAATTTTTATTAACATTTTATTTGTAGGTTATCGTTAATTACATTAACGCAAGAAAGTAATCATTACGTTAGAGTAAAATAGATAAATCAATATATCATTTGAGAAAAAGAAGCATAACATTTAATAAAAGCGAGGGACTTATCGAATGAATATAAAATTATTTAATAGAACTTTAAAAATACAAACAAGTACGAAAAGCGCGCACACACAGACGGATATTCATGCATAGAATTTATCAATTATACAGTATATATTAATTACATTTTATTAACACTTTCTTTTAATAGAAGTATTTTAATTCGTCTCTAGACAATAGAAAATGGAAATATAACCTATTTAAATTATTTATTTTTTATATAATTTATGGGACATATTGCATAGAAAAATACATTAATCCACTTGAAGAACAAGTTTTCAAACTTTCTTTATAGACGCCTCCATGTTTTGAAAAGTCATTCATTCGGGCCTTTCAAAAATGTTCGAAAAAAGAAATTTTGGGTATTAATGATAATATTATTTACTGTATATTTAAATAAAATCATTTAAACGTAAAATGATTGTATGACTATTTAGCTTAATTATTATTAATAACAAAACAAACAACGAACGGTCACTACGCGTAACTGGAGCATTATTAACGATCACTCATGAAAAACTTGCTAATTAAAACTGAAAAATACGCTGTGTAGAATCAGATTAGCTTTGATTTACAGTTTTAAACCTTAAAAGGCTCTTAGAACTATGACAACACATAAATGACATAAAGTAATAATAAATATTTTAATTAATGTTGATTCTACAGGCGACGCAAAACCGCTGACATGGCTTTTAGCGATCCGACATTTTGATATAAAAGTTATACATCGGGAATGCCGTGGGTACACAGACACATGGGTTATCAACTTCTGAAATTTCCGAACTTATCAGGCAGGATTAAGAAGTAGGTAGGTGGCAGTACAGGGAAAGAATTTTCTTTCCATAGCTATTCTCAATCATGAAGTTTCTCATGGTTAACAGTGGCGGACTACAGATCAGGTGCAAGAAGCGCGTGCTTGGGGCCTCCGAAAGATAGCAGCTTCAGAAAGAAATGCATTCTGCGAACTTCAGGCACAAATATCATTTTCATATAGACAAATTGCCGTTCGTCAAATTACAAACGGCTACGTAAAATTTTTAATGCTTAATAACTGACCAATAAAATTTCCTTTTCGAGTGTGAGAAAATATTTTAAGTTATAAATAATGTTTAAAATTACAGTATTTGTGCGTTTACGTACAGTACCTACTATCCAGTCAAATAAGCGTTGGATCTCTTGTCTACTTCAAACGAATAAAATGTTCTGCATAATTGGCGTTTTCAGTGTCGAATTTTTATACAGAAAATATTATCATGTAAGTATCCATGTATTGTATTATTGTTTATGCTATATACAGCATTTTTTTTTAAATTGTGATTATTGGTTATTAGAGTCGACAGCAAGTATCCATTCAAAACAGTAAAATTCACTGCATTAAATTAATTGTTCACAATATTTTATTAAGTAATATATTGATTTGATAGTATTACTTAGTAGGCCTATTTAAAACAAAGGGACCTCAAAACTAGGCTGCTCTTGAAGCACTCAAGTGCTTAATCCGCTATGGTAGTTATATTGTAATTTTATATCCTATCAAAAATGCTTATTCAAAAATAATAAATCTTAATAAATCATTCAAGTTGGATTTTTTTAATTTAAAAAAACGAATGAATAAAAGTGAAAAATATGCGATTTTTCGTTATTGTTAAAAATATATTTCTCAACAATACGAAATAGACTATTGTTGGTTTATTGTTGCTCTGCGTTATTGGAAGTCGAGTAACTGCGCTTAAAAAACAAATTTTGCTTATATCATTCATATTGCGATAACTTCGATTAAATATTGTAAGTATTTCGATCTTCATTAATGTATCAACTCCTGAATACATAAATACAAGAAAGATTTGGAGAATATAAACGCATATTTTTTAATATTCGCTAAATATACTAAAATTAATTTTTTAAATTCATTGTTTGCCATAATTTATTATTACTCGATCACTTATTTTTATTATTTTAATGTTTTATTTATTATAATAAATGAATAATGTTTATTTTAAATATAAATTTTATTTTATTATTTCTTAAGGAATAAATAATCAAACAGTATTATAATTAATTAATTTTTAAATTTTTTTTCAAGGTTACGATGTTACTTTATGGATACCGACGATTAATCGTTATCGGAGCCATATTGTTTCTATCTATATGGCGTTTGTCAACTTTTATACACAGTCTGATTGGGATTGTTGTATATATTTTGAGAATAATATATATTCTGCGAAAGAGTCACCAATTAGACTTAGCTCGATCTCACGAAAGGTCAAGGCAGTTTTCTCACTATCAAAATGTGGATCGAAATCACTCAAATTCGAATGATTATTATAATCTAAAAGAAACATACGATAAAGTAAATGATGAGTTGAGGAATTCAGAGAAATTTGGTTCAACTAAACCAAAATGTTCATTTAATAATATTAGATATAAAGTATCAGCATTAGAATATGTATTAAGGATGATATTAACTGCAAAAAGAAAAACAGTTAAAATAGCACATCCAGATAATTTTAAATCATCTTTATCTATCGATAGGTGTGAATTTATATATTCATTGCCAGATAAAGAGAAAGCAAAAACTGATCTTCGTGGTATCAGTACTGTAACAGCCGCTTTAAAAGAAACAGGGAAAAGATCTTTAAGAGAAGTAAATGAACCAAAAAATTCAAAACGTAGGCGATTAATGGATAAAATGCAAACGAACAGTTCCATTAATCAGTTTGCTAAACAAAAGTCTCCTAAGAATGTGGAGAAAATATGTGAAAGCAATTCTTCAATGACCATTCCAAAAACATTAAAAAAGGGTGTATCTTACCGAAGAAATCTTCCTCTTTATACCTCTCTTCAAGCAAATATACAAATTGCATCTATACCTGCTCATTTTCCTACATTAGAAGAACATCATAAAGATAGGAAAATGGAAGAAAAACGATTGGAATGGTTGTTATCTGCAGTAAAAGAAGCATGCGAGATGAAAGATCGTAGAAAGAAGAATGCACCAACAGAAATTGCAACCAATACTGCTATCACCACAACCTCATTTTCTATTGCAAATTCTGTTCTGTTCTGTGATTTCTATTACTAGCAGTTCCAGTGTACCTACAGTTACATCATCTTGGTTGGTAACAGAAAGAACAATGGTAAATATGATGCCTATTATTACTGTGCCGTCACTAAGAAAGTATGGATATAACTATTGTTAGTACCAAAAGAACGGTCACTATTCTGGAGGATTATTAGTGATCACGCTTGAAAAACTTGACTGTTGAAACTGAAAGAAAGTGTGTTATTAGCTTGGATTTAGAAGTTTCAAGCGTGAAAGACTCTCGGGACTATGAACAATGGATAAATGAAGGAATGCGTGACTCATGCCTCATTGATCTAGTTTTAACACTTAATATTTTTATCAGTTTTTACTGAATACAACAAAAATTGAATTCGGGTGTTTGTACTGTATATAAATGACGTAACGTATTCGTCTAGTTTTAAAAATTATATTGTTATTACTTTTTACAAAATTCAATAAAATCGAATACGGGGCGTATTTGTATTTTATCAATTGCTACAATACATACAAACAGTAATAACATTCATAACTTTTATCGATGATTTTTTTAAAATTACTATTAGATATCAATAGTTTATTTAAGGAATATATTTTATAGTTTTTGAAACTATTCCGCGCCTGCTATTAACACGCTTCGTTAGCGAATCCGTTTCGGTACTTTGGAAAATATTAACTTAATTCAAACAAACTACCGCATTTCCTCAATTCTAAGACATGCCATACGTTTAAAATCGAATTATAATTGTTTTAAGCAAGGAAAAGTATTTACATAATCAATTTTATTCAGTAATAAGTTAGAAAAATAAGGCGGAATTTTTTATTTATTTTTATTTGTCTTAAGAATCCTGGAAATCTGGATATGCATAAAGTCAGATGAACTGTATTAATCACAAAGATGGAGAATCTGTAACGGATTAATTTGTAGACTCAGTCTGTCCTAAAAGAGAATCCGCCATTTATTCACTTCTTGTGTTCCAGAATACAAACATTTGACTACCTGATATTACAGTATATATAAAATTTGTAATTTTAATTGGATATTTTTTTGTGTTTTTTAAAGGAATTTCTTAAAACTTGACGGCCATTCAGCCTAAAAAGAAAGATCGGATCGTCAAGTGTTTGTACTCTGGAACACAAGAAGTGAATAAATGGCGGTTTCCGTTTTAAGACAGACTGAGTCTTCAAATTAATTTGCACAATCTTGACATCCGACGAAATTCTCCAAATCTGTAATAGATAGTAATACTTGAATATATTCATTTTTTCGGCTATTGTTATTTTATTAACTGCATTTAAAAAATTGTATATTAAAGACTGTATAATGCGTATCCGAAGTATTATTATCTAAATACATAAAATTGCTTGTCTTGACTGACTCACTCACTCATTCATTCACTGATTCATCATCGCCCAGAGCAGACCGCTTAAACTGGAGGTGAAATTTGGTAGGCAGTTAGGGTACGTCATGGAAACGCACACTAGGAAGGAATTTTTCGAAATTCCCCCGCGGGGGAGAGGGAGAGAATTAAGGCTTAACCGGAAGAACGGCTTCTACTGCACTATTTTAGATGGAATTTTTTGTTTTTATCTGCGTTTTAGTGGGGTATGCCATGGGAATGCACACTAAGAAGGGATTTTTCGAAATTCCCCCGCGTGCGGGAGAGGGAGAGGATTTAGTCTTCATCGAGCACTTAGGTGTATTAAATTAATAACATTTCAGACATTGTTATAAATATTTTTATCTATTTCGATTTTAAAAATGTTCGAACCGTTTTAAATTCGAATTTGTTATTGCAAATTGGTTCGATTATAGAATGATTGTAAACGTTCCAGAAAATTGATCAAATTGAAAATACCTCGTAGTTCGTTTGATTCTCGGCAATTCTCATCATTCTCAGCGGTAGGTGTTATATAACAATTACTATGGTTGTTGAAATATTGAATATAAATGGGGTTTGCTTGCAAAACCTCCGCAGACGAAGTCGCGGGTAACAGCTAGTTTAGATATAAATCAATTAGCCTATACTGCTACACGTTCCTTAACTTCGTTTATAATTCTTGATTTTATATCTAGATTTTTCTATTAAATAAAGATAATTCTTACTTAATAATAATATTTTATCTATCCTTTTTCTCCTGTATGATTATTACATTTAGATATTTTTTTAAATATTTATATACGTAAAAATAACTGTTATACGTAAAAATAATATAATTTAATCCATAATAGTAAAAGAAAATATTATTTCGTTTCATCTTGTTTTCAAAAATACGTTTAAATTATTTCATTGATCATTATTTGAATAATGACTAATAAGTTATTTTAATTAGATTGTCACACAAGCTACACTAAAATCAGTAATACGCTAAACGTTTATTTATTTCTATGTGATGTTAGGTTTAATGCAAGAATAAGAAAGTTCTTCACATAAAAAAACGATAACCCTTTAAGATGTTATCGATGAAAATAATATGATGAATTAAGAAAGAGGAATGACGTAAAGTTGTAGTAGTACTATTAATAGTCACATCAGTGGCTATATTAAATTTTAGTTTACTAATTTTATCCATAAGTTTGAGAATTATAATAATATACAGTATATATATATGGGGGTTTCAGTATCTATACTTATTCAAGCTATTGATACAAAAATCCCTATATATGAGAATACAAAACTGATTTATCAGTTATTTTAAATGAAACCTTTGAATTTAAAATCGTGAAAAAAATTACTATTTTAAATTTTAAGTCATTTTTTTTTAACTTGTAACTTCCTTATAAATTAAGTTATAACTTTTCTTTTATAATTTATTAATTCAATATTGCAATATAAATGAAACTAAGAACATTACAACTAGTATTTATTTTTTCTTAATTAAAATTTTACTTTAGTAAATTCACTTCATTTAATACTTTAAAAAGATCAAATTATATTATTTGTTTATCATTTCGTTAAGAGACGTGTTTGAATATTTAAAAATATTTATAAGGATGCAATGTAAAAATTTTAGAATTAATTAAATCATATTATTCAGTTATTTATTAAGAAAGCAAAAATATAATGATGATAATGATAATAAATTGCCAAGGTAAAGACAATTAAAAGATTTTAAAAATATAAATTTTAAAGAAATATATAAATTTAAAAGGAAAATTAATTTTTAATTAATAATTATTAATAAAATTTACCGTTTTGATTGCTTAAGAGGTTTCCTGAATTTAAACCAAGCTGTTGCATATCGAAAAATTCTGAAGTAGGTTGAAAGTTAACAGATTCATTAAATTGATTTATATAGTCCATAGAAATTGGATATGGTAAACTTTTCTCATAAAAGGAGTAATTCTGAAATGTCTGTTGGCAACTTTGTCGTTGTAGCTGCATTCCATTAAACTCTGTAGGAGGATTCATTTGTGGAAAATCAACAGTTAATTTAGATTTTTTAAGAGCTCGAAATTCCATATTAATTATCAAAATTAGCTGCAAGAAATTTGATGGCAGTTATTATATATTTTGAAAATATCATTTCACATCACACGACATCAATGAAAAATCAAAAGGATCCTAATTTTTTTAATGACAAGACTATGTACAGTACATACTTCTTAATATAGTAAAACCTTGCCAGGAAATATCTGTTTTTGAAAATACAAAACGGAAAGACACTGACTAATATGTTGTTTAAATAATAGTGTCTGAATGACTAATAAAGTCTGATTAAACAATACGAATGTTTAAATATCTTCGACCATTGTATTCGAAACTCTAATGTACTGTACAGTACACATGTAATAAGATGCAAAATTTTTCTCTCTTTAGATATATAATTATAGCGATTAATAAGAATAATATCAATAATTATATGGATAATCATCCGTAGAGGCTCAACTGTATTAATATAGTAATTATTGTGTTAATAAAAGTTATATTTAATATATCGATTCATCTATAATAAGATCAAAAGTTTACCAATAAAACTTTTTGTTTTTATTAGAAACTACAAAGAGAATAAAGATCAAGAACTTATTTCGGTACAGTTTTTACAGCTATAAATAATTTGCACAGTTTCTTTAAAACTGTAATCAACATTAAAAGTACAAAAAAAAATCCGAAACGATATTCTGTATATTTATACAATACTCTTCAAATCTTAGCTTTGTTTAATCAAACCAAAAAGTTAGGTAATATAAAATCTCTCTTATAATGTTATTTGCTTATTTGTTATACTGTACACACTAACTTTTGAATTACAGTAATTAGTTATATAAAAAAATATATAAAAAAGCAAAACCAAAAAGGAAGCTAATTTAAAATTTAAAAAATAAAACAGTCACTTCGATCCTTTCAACGTCCCCTTATTATTAATGGAAGAGATAATTAAATTACACTATATGCATTTCGAGCTGTTTTAATTTAGTTTTTTTTATTAGTACAAGGAATAACAGACAAGAAATTTTTAGATAATAAATTAAACGATCCTCCTGTCTAGATATAACTAGATACAGTAATTAGATTACCGATTAAATAAATTATTATTTGAAATAAATACGTAGCATAGTCTTTTAAAGAGATTATACATTTTATAAATGCATTAATATGTGAATTTTGTAAACAGGAAGTTTTAAATGAATTATTTTGTATAATCTCATGAGAAAGTGACTAATTCCCATTATCTCTTGTTTTTAATCATTTTTTTTCCATCAAGTCATATATTAAAAGGAGTAACATTATACCACAGTAAATAACATATATATATCCTTTGATTATTATTAATAATAATTTGCTAATTGTCAATATTTTGATTAATTTAAACGTTTATATCATCAGCAAATAGATAGTCTATTTTAAATAAAACTATTCAAACTAACATTTAATTCAATGGTATATTTAGAACAGACAATTGAATTAAATTATGGTTCTCAATTAAAAATAATTTAATTCTAACTAATAAATTCAAACTTCACAGCATATTTAAGATTAAGGATGTACGCCAGGGGTTTCGGAACCGGAAGTTGAGTAGGCTGTCGCCCACTCACTTTTTCCCTTCTAAAAATCAAAGTTAAAAATGTAAATTAAAAATAAAATCATAACATAGTAACTTATATATATTCATTTAGGTTTTCTATATGGGAAAAGATGTAGATGTTGTTTCAGAGCTTAATAAATAGATAAATTTAATTTAATATTGTTTTTAAGACAGGGTTTCCCCTACTATTTCTTTCATAATCCTAGTAGGTTATATCAGTGATGAGCAACCTTTTTTGGATGCGGACCACGAGTGAATTTCGTAGGCTTCCGACAGATCGCATGCATTTTTTCTTATAGAGCTGTGGTTTTGAGCCTGCTGAGTATCAAGTTTTATTTTTGTACAAAATAGTAAAATAGTACAAAGCAGGCTCGAAGCAGGTTTCGAGCCTGTTCAAATAATATATGCTAGCGATATGTAAACTAGTATTATTTAGTTTATTCTCATTTTTTACTTGTCAATATATCAACTTAATTGGGATTGTACCGATTGGAATTGATAACACGAGGCAGAAAACAGGAAAAAATCATGCGGGCCATATGCGGCCCGGGGACCGCGGGTTACTCACAAATAGGGATTGCAATTGCTGGATCCCTCATCCAGCAATCCAGCTGGATCCAGCACATTTTTCGACCTGTTGGATCCAGCACCAGGTGCTGGATCCAGCGCTGCGGATCCGCAAATACTCAATTAACTTTCTAAATAATGGCGCAAAAGTTTACGTTGTCGGCCTTACCGCTTTGCTACGTGCGCTCTCGCTCAGCGGCGAGAGCGACGTTGCCGTTCAGCGCAGCATGTTCTACACCCTCTCTCTACACCGCACCGTCCGCCCTTTTACCTCTGCTGATCTAATTGTGAGGCTCTGGACAGGTCCGAAGCCTCACTAAAATTCGCGTTAAAATAATTGTTTTAAAGAAAATAATATAGTAGTTAGAGATAGATTTTTATCTTATGAAAACGCGACGCTAACTTTTAAACAATATAAGAATGTAAGTCCGTCGACCATTTCCAGTTGGAGATCGAATTAAACTTCGATTTTGACCTCTCCCGCGCCCTCGAAAGGTTTCGAATTGTCATCAGGTGATGAGGAGAGACCAATCGGAAAGGGGAATCTGAGAGAAAACGGATAAAACCCCGGAAATTCGAGAACGTGGCGGCTTCTTCTCCCGAAAGTTCCGAGTGACGGATCTGTTGTTGTGTGTGTGTCTCGCACCCATCTTCGTCTCCATCTCCCGACCTCGGATCGACGTCTTTCCATCAACGGAAGTCGACCGCATCGCCCTGGAGTCGTCGAGACGTGATGGAATGGTTCCTTCGCGAACAAGGGACACTCCTTCAAAATGGAGTGTCCCTTGTAATGGAGTGTCCCTTCAAAATGGAGTGTCCCAAGATAGAGTGTCCTCTATCTTGGAAAGGAGAGGAAGACCCAGAGGCCGCAGCCGCCGCAGAACTTCCAAGATCGCGGAAATCTTGTAAGCTTCTTTCGTGTTTAATAAACGGTTGTGTTGTTTGTAAACGAAGCATCTATCTCTGACTCAACTGCTTCCACATGTCGTTGATTGTTACCGCTCGGCAGTCCAAACGGCAAGGGAGACGATGACGATATATATCCCATATTATCGTTCATCGAGTTTTTTAAATTTCTCCCCCCTCGGCCCCCACATAATTGCTAGTTGACTTTCCGCTCTCGCTAAATAAAGTATCTTCGCGCTAAATAAAATAAGTAACTCCTATCCTAGTCTTGGTGTATAATTCTAACTTACGGTCGGTTGTGACGTCAATGAATCACGTGACGGAACGATCGTAGTTTAAACTGGTCATAGAAGCTCTCTGCAGAAGAATCGAGTTTGATAACTGCTGACACAACCCTGAAATTTATCTTAGACAAACTAAAAAGCCAATATACAATCTTGAGTGCCGACCTTTCCGAGGCACTCCGCAAAAGAATCAGAGAACGGCGTCTTACTGAGGTTCACGGGTAAGATGCCGATTTACATACAGATCCCGAAGAAGTATGACCAAAAAGTTAAAAAGCTTTATCTTTCACATGCAGAAAAAAATGTAATGCGCCAGATGAAAAATATGCAGAATCGTGTAAATACATATGTAGTGGAACCAGCAAGACAGAGGATATTACGGAGTGGAAAACGGATTTCCTGAATTTCATATTGGAACAAGAATTAGAGATGCAACTAAAGCGTGAGAAAGAAAACTTCATGAAACGGAAAGAAACTAGTACTGAGAAAGATTATGATAAGTTATTAAAAAAGGAAATGGCTGTTTATGAAAGTGAGGGAGTCAGAGTGAAAACTTATCTTTGATTTATCATTATTTGATGACACTGAAACCAACTAGCATAGAGGCAGAAAAGGCCTTATATAGGGAGTGATATAACTTATATGCAGTTCATTAAGAAGTAGGTTGGGAGACAACACCATCAACACCATTTGTTTCTTGAGATCCTACTTTTAGAAAAGTCAAAAAAAAAAAAATAACAGAAGTGATTGATTTAATTTTATTTAATCCTTTAAAATACTTTATTCAAGACAAGACTAATATTTTATAACTTCTACTCTAATTCTATTAAGTAAGACTATTAAGTATTCTATCTTTTATTCTATAAGTGGATAGTGGGCTAGGCTAGGCAATTTTATTGTGAAAATTAGTGAGAAACTGAGACTACCTAGTTAGTTAAATAGTTAATTAAATTGATGAGTATCAGTATCTTAGATATTTGATGATACTAGCTGTTACCCGCGACTTCGCCCGCGAAAATTTTGCAAGCAAACCCCATTTATATTCAGTATTTCAACAACCATAGTAATTGTTATATAACAACTACCGCTGAGAATGATGAGAATTGCCGAGAATCAAACGAACTATTTTCAATTTGATCAATTTTCTGGAACGTTTACAATCGTTCTATAATCGAACCAATATACAATAACAAATTCAAATTTACAACGGTTCGAACATTTTTAAAATCGAAATAGATAAAAATATTTATAACAATGTCTGAAATGTTATTAATTTAATACATCTAAGTACTCGATGAAGACTAAATCCTCTCCCTCTCCCCCGAGGGGGAATTTCGAAAAATCCCTTCTTAGCGTGCATTCCCATGGTATACCCTACTAAAACGCAAATAAAAACAAAAAATCGCATCTAAAATAGTACAGTAGAAGCCGTTTTTCCGGTTAAGCCTTAAGCCTTAATCCTCTCCCCCCGCGGGAGAATTTTGAAAAATCCCGTCTTATTGTGCATTCCCATGGCATACCCTACTAAAACGCAGATAAAAACAAAAAAT